TCTAAAAAATCGATTCTCGAATTACCCTCTGGTAAAACTTTCTTGGAATTATCTTTAAGATTAATAATATTAATTAACTATTAATTGATTTTTAACTAAAACTAACCTCACATTCGAATTCTTGGCACTCGATTACCCTTCGGTCAAACTTTTTCAAAAATTAATAATATTAATTATTAACTGAATATTAACTAATTAATTTTAATAAATCAATCTCAGATTCGAGTTCTCCATACTCGATTACCCTTTGGTCCAACTTTTCAGAAAATATTTCAAAAATTAATAATATTAGTTATTAACTAATTATTAATTGATTGTTAACTAAAAATAACCTCAGATTCGGATTCTCCACACTCGATTAGCCTTCGGTGAAACTTTAATCGAACGTATAATAATACTAATTATTAACTGATTATTAACTAGTTAATTTTAATAAGCTAACCTCAGATTCAAGTTCCTCGCCCTCGACTACTCCCCTATCAAGGTTTTCCGGAAGTATCTGAAAAATTAAATTTGAATGTTTTTTTGACCCTGCGGACAGACAAGCAAGCAAGCAAGCAAACAAACAAACAATTTATTCTTACTGGACTCTTCTCTACGAGAAAGAGAATAAAACTTTCGCAAACATTTCTTGTGTAAAATATTGTAACTTCGTAATCATTATCAGAAACGTGTCAATTATTATATGCACTTCTTTTTAAAAGATTTGAATTAGTTCTATCATCTGATTAACGTTTGTTTATGCTCACATTGCTAAATCTGAATCGATGTACTTTTGAAGGAAAGTTTTGAGCTGTAAACTCATCTGGAAAATGTGTCATCTAGAGGGTGTGGGCATGCGAATATCTTGAATAGAACACATCCACACCTCTATCATGATTTTTCTTAATGATGAATAAAAACGATAGCTGTTTGTATACTTCAAAACTATTTTTACAATAACTTAAGACATGTACTGAACGTTGATCACCATCTGAGTTATATTCAACCGCATCATTAGTTAACTGGTGTGAGTGTTTGATCTCCCACACCCACCCTAATGCTAAATTATCAATTTTGAAAGATCAATTACTTGAGAATAATGAAAATTTAAACCGATTGATACAAAACAGAAAAAATGAATGATGAAAATAAACATGATTTTTACAAATTATATTGTTTTTGTTAAAGATACTGTATAATATATCAGGATAAGGCGAATATAATGACTATGCGAATAAATTATGAAAAATCAGAAAAAAATTAGGAAAGTAATACAGCTACGAGGCTTGCTGTCAGTTTTAGAATTTTTATCAAATTTAAATTCAATAAAAAATAGTTGGGACTTAAAGAGAAGGTCGTCGTGTACCATTCCATAATTTGTTTTTTTGTTGAGTATTAGTACGAGAAAATGGTACAACAACAAGTAAACCTAATGTTGATATAACAGTTAGAAGAAGAAAAATATAAAAAAGAATTTTATCGACTTTTGTTGCCATTGCACGCCAATCATTTGTTACTCGTAGATCATGATCAAGTTCTTTTTGTTTACGTAATAAACCATGTAATGTATCTTGTATTTCATCATGAATTGTATTAACTGATCTTGTCCGAGATGATGAATGATTTTTATTTTTATTATCTAAAAATTTTCGTTCCTGATTATCATCCATGTCCATTCGCGTTGCAGTTGCCTTTTAAATTGAAAAAGAAAAATATATAAATCTACTTAAACGTAACAAAGATTTTTCAAGTGTATCATTCTTCTACTCATATTTTAAAATATGTCGTTTTTCACTTCAATAGACCTTTAAATTATTGTGTTGTAAGTATAAAATTCTTTTTTTTTGTGTTAATTTATAAGAAATAAAATATAATTGGAAAAATTAAATTACTAGGTAATTATACTTACGCCATCGGTTATTGTTCGTATTCTGTCATCGTCATGAATTTTATATTTCATTGATGAATCACGTTTATTTTTACGAAAATTTTTTGTCTTTTTTGTTCTTTGATATGATCGAATGATATTTGCTAATGATAAACTTAATAATTGCTGAAGCCAAAATGGTATTTCATTTTTTTTTGGACCACGATAATGAAGATTAAGAACAAATACTGTCATCATTACTGATACACTTGTCATAGCCATAACAGCAGTTAAATATAAACCTAAGAATATATATATATATTGTTTTTGTATTGAAAATTTTTCACTTACTAATTAATGGAATATGTTCACTTGTTTCTGGCATACTTTCAGCAATTGATAACATAAATACACTAAATGCAAGTAAAACAGTAATACCAAGTGCAATTTTTTCACCAGATTCAGGTGGTAAACAAAAAACAAGTAAAGTTAATATAGATAACATAACACAAGGAAAAATAACTGAATATAAATAATATATAATTCGTCGTCGTATACGAACATAAAATGTTATATCAGGAAATGGTTCTGGACAACATGGATAATGAACAATATTCACTTGATATGATGTATCTAATAAATCCCATTCACCATTCTTAACATAATTTGATAATTCAATAGCATCAATACGTTGTTCAATTGATACTTGAAAGCCATTATAAGTCCAACTACCAAATTTTAATTTACATTCTTGTTCATCATATGGAAAATACGTTACATCAACTTGACAAGTACTTTTTAATCGTGTTGGTATAGGCCAAAACACACTACCTGTATAAATAATCATAGCATTTGCCTGCATTGTATTACTATTAGAGAATTCATCGGCATTCTAAAATATTTTTTTAATTTAAAACTAATCTAATGCAAAAAAAAAAGAATTTCTTAATTTACATTGTAAAGTACTATATCAGGTAACCAAATAAGTTTTGATGGAAGGTTAAGACGTTGAATTCCATTGAAATCATCAGGATTCCATTTAAGAAATTCATCATGCCTTATAAAAAGAAATATGGAAAAAAAAATGAATAAACTATTATTAAAATAATTACCATTCTTGATCTAACCATACATTTGTAATTAATATCTGATTTTTTTCAATCTAAAAATCGTATCCAACTCAAATTTTAATATTTTTTTTAAATATCATTTATACTAACCATATCAAATATCTGTGTAAGTGTTAAACCTAATTTTACAGGTACTGGTTTACTAGCATTTCTTACTGGTCGGACACTATTTGAATAATTTCTATATATCATAAAATAATAGAATGTAATGAAAAGTTATATATATATATGCATTACTTCATTAAAAAATATAAAAGACGTTGTTCATCTGAACAATTAGTATGAGTTTGATTATTACAATCAAGAAGAGCACCAAATGGTGATCGAAAATCTTGACATTTATTCACACCTGTTTAAAGAAAAGAAAGAAAGAAAGAGTATTAATAGATATTATTTTTCTATTGATAACAACAATATGACGAACAATTGAAAAGTAATGAGATGTATATGCAGCTGTTTGATCTTCTCTTATCTTTATCCTTCGTACAGTTTCAAATGACATTTATAGCCATTTACCCTGCAGGACACCGTAACAACTGTCGATAGTACACAGTAGGTGCATAAAGAATATGACAAATGTATTTTTCAAACGTCATCGATATAACAAGTCAGTTAATGTTAGAATTGCGTGATAATCTTATTAATAAAAGCTACTTACCATGATTTTAATTAAGAGAAATATGAACTCTTCCGGTGAAAGGATGCTAATAACCATGAATAAAGGAACGTGAGAGAAACACATACCCATATAAAAATGAACCTTACTAAATACTTATATATATATATAAATATATATATCTACCTACCGAATAATACAGTGAATGTGATCATCATATATATTAACAATATTATGGATCGATTGTTTGAAATCGGATATAAATGTTCCATGTTTATGTATATTGTAAATGATTGTATTTCTATTAATCTTCAATATGTTTTTGCATCGCCTTTTCGAAGACAAAAAAAAATAACAAAAACTAAAGTATCGACGGATTCTAATGTTCTCTCTTCTTTCCGCTATGGTTGTTCGCCTTTCTAAGACGATACATCTTCTACTCTATTCACTCGGAGAAAAGAAGAAAAAAAAAAAACGAAGAGAATAACGAACGGAAAGCATATAGAGATACAGAATGTTCTTAGGAGGAGCATCTACCAGGGAGAGAGAGAGAAAAAAAATGATGAATAGAAGACTAAATAGTTTTGCACTGCGCTTGCGTGTATGTGTATGATACTAATCATACACATTCTATTATTTTCCGTTTGTATACTTATGTAAAAGAAAAAGAAGTATAAAATAAATGATTATTTATCTCTATTCGTTTGTATTATAGGCACCACCTTGACAATAACTCTTGCTCATATAAAGATAAATTGTTGTTGTTGTCATATGGATACAATGTGAAATATATCGAAGCTTTTAACTAATAGAAACACAGATGTGGATATACACAGTCCGATATATATAT